GTGAGAGATGTTCCCATCTGGCTGACATTCCATAAACGTCCCCTGGATTAGACAGATAAATCAGATATAAAAATTTTTTTAATTAAATCAATGCAGGTTTTTAAAAAACATTTTAAAAATCTTACCAACCACCAACTTTTGAAAGCTAATGTTTGTTGTACTTACAGCCCTGCAGAAGAAACCACAGCCTGGGCAGCTCTGATGTTTCACCATGCCCGCACGATGATCCTCGCACAACACCAGCAATGGAATCCTCAGAGAGGGACGCATCATTTGCTGCTTCAGAATCACCTTCCGACATAAACTCAGCTAGAGAGAGGGGGAAAAAACTTGTATTCACACAAAAAAAAATTTCTTTAATACTTTCTTGAAATTGATTCAAATTTTTACTGATCAAACACATTAGTATAATGCTATCATACATAAAAAGCATATACTACATTTACTGTGTGAATGTAACTGTTGCAGTGGTGTGAATGTAGTTAATGATTTCATTTTGTTATCCTTTCACAGACTCATGTTTTGAAACATGACACATGTTCTACCTTTCCATCAACACTCTCTACAGCCATGCACTTGCCCTCAGCAAGAGTTACTACATCCTGGTTCTTCGGAGCCTCTATGCGACAGCTACACAGTGGAGGTTCCAACATGTCATCAGCCTCCATGTTCTCTTTATCCTCCGGCAAACCTGATAAACACAAACACTTAAGTTCACTTTAGGTACTTGAGGGTGGTTTTCTTACAGTTTTAGCCCTCTGATACTAGAATATCCTAGGCTACTAAACCCTCCCTAATCTGCCATTTCTTTTATTATGATGTATTAAATCAAGCGAACCATATTAAATCAAGCCAATATGCAACAAAAAGTTGTTTATTTTTACAAAGGGTCTGCATGTATGTTGCCATGTGGTCTTATTGTCTTACAAAGTCAGAATGCTCTGTCTGAAACCTGCCTCTGCTCATTCTGAGATCAACCTATTGTATGAAAACAAACAGATAGGAAGTATACACATTTCATGAGGTGGCAGTATGAAATGCATAAGCAAGCAAGAAGTGGACTTCAATTCTACTGTCTTCAGGTGCAGATAATATCTAGTCTACCTGTGGGGATTGCCGTGAACATGCTTTCATGAGCCAGAGCATGTAGAGGCAGCTCTGTGTATTCTTCAGCGTGGCCTTGTTGAAGGTCCTCCGTTTCCTTGTTCTTATGCGCTTCTGCTGCAGTTTCTCTCTCAGCCGCTGAAGTCTGCTTCTCTGGTTTCTCAGAATTAACTCTATTTTTGAATGCCTCTTCAATGGACATCTGCCCACCTTTGGAGCCAGCTGTATGTGAATCCTCCTGCGGGGTTTGGAAACAAAGATCTTGAATGTTCAAGATTTGGCCAAGATGAATGACTTCATGTCACACATGCGGAAGTAGTCTAATGTGTGAGATATCAGACCTGCTCATTTGAAGAGGACAACGAGACATTCGGTTTCTTGGACACTTTTGGTTTCTTTTTGGGAACAAAATTATATAAGCCCATTTTTCTTTTCTTCTTTTTGGAGGCTGCAGAAGAATACAAACAGAGGGGCATGCAATTGGTTTTACTCTCTTGTGTTCTAAACAAAGAGGTTTTAATGCAACTAAGTTCTTAGCTAAAAAAATTCCCACCTGTTTGTGTTGAGTCTTTGACTTCCTGAGGTAAACTGAGATGCTGTGTGGGCGAGGACTCCACGTCTCTCTCATACACACTTTTCTCTCTGTTCATTGTCTATGTTGTTGCATTAATAAAAACAGACATATATATAAGTCTTCTTTGGACAGATTTTGGTATCACTTTAGTATAGGGACCAATTCTCACTATTAACTAGCTGCTTATTAGCATGCCTATTATTAATGCATTGGCTGTTTATTAGCACATATTCTGCATGACCATATTCTACATCCCTAATCCTACCCAATACCTAAACCTAACAACTACCTTACTTTTAAAGAGTTAATGATTTTATTCAGTAAGGATACATTCAATTGTTTCCTAGTCACAGTAAAGATGCACAATGTTACATAAGAGTTTTATTTTGAATAAATGTTGTTTTTTTTCTTTCTAATCATCAGAATTAGAAAGAATTGTGAAAAAACTGTATCATGTTTTCCACAAAAATATTAACCAGTACAACCATTTGTGGAGGAAAAAAATAAGAAATGAGCACCAGATCAGCATATTAGAATGATTTCTGAAGGATCATGTGACACTGAAGACTGGAATAATGGCTACTAAAAATTCAGCTTTGCCTTCACAGGAATAAATTACATTTTAAAATATATATAAAAATAGAAAACAGTTATTCTAACCTGTAATAATATTTTACAAATTACTGTTTTTGCTGTATTTGGTGAGAATAAGAAAAAATTTACTGACTTCTTACTTATATATAAGAAATATAATTTATGGGCGTCCCACCCATAAAACTGTTTTTGTCTCAGGCTCTTTGAATTTGACTATGCATCAGTATAAATATCCAACCATGTTCAGAAATGTCCGTTAGTCCCCCTAACACACACATTTTAGGTTATCATCAAAATCCATGCCTTCCACATTTTCCTGACTCATTAATATGAACTAGACAGTACATAAGCAAGCAGCAGGCTACCTTCAGAGCAGATGGAGCTGGTGCTGGTCTAACCATGGTTTTCCAAGCCAAACGTGGCGGAGCAGGATTCACAGCTTTAAACTCCTCCGGCCCTCTCTGGGCATCCCCTTCCTGTCTGGCTGCAGGTGAGGACAAAGTGGGGATGCTCTTGGCGGCATTACCAGACTCTGAACTCTGTGTTTCTGAAGCTTCTTGTTTATCTTGCTGGATAGAGCCATGATTTCCTGAGATGATGTTTTCACCTGGTAGCTTGAGGGATGTATGGCCAGAAAGTAGCTGAAAGCCGGTCCCTGTGCTCTTCGTGCTGTCTAGATCACTCTGTTTACCAACTTTTGGAGTAGCACCAAGGGATTTGGTCTTCCTGCCTCTTCTCGGTGGGTCCGCAGGGCTGTCCATACCTACAACCACAGCATGATAAAATATGTGACCCTGGCGCACAAAACCAGTCATAAGTAGCACGGGTATATTTGTAGCAATAGCTAACAATACATTGTATGGGTCAAAATTATCAATTTTTTTTAATGCCAAAAATCATTAGGATATTAAGTAAAGAAAAATTAGTAATGTGCATTGCTAAGAACATAATTTGGATAACTTTAAAGGCGATTTTCTCAATATCCAGATTTTCAAATAGTTGTATCTCAGACCATACACCAACGGAAAGCTTATTTAATCAACTTTCAGATTATGTATAAATCTCAATTTCGAAAATATTGACCCTTGTGACTGGTTTTGTGCTCCAGGGTCTCACATATGAAAAACACTAAGGTATGGAAAACAATGTGCATTTCACACTTGATACATCAATCAAATCTGAAAAAGAATACCAGATGCTTTTGTAGTATGGGATGCATTAACCAGCCTGAACTTGCATTATGAATAATAACCTTGAAATCAATGAACTCACCTTTTTTGGACTTGGCCATGGCAGGGGGAACCTGGAGCAATCCAAGAAGACCTCCAAGTTCCTTCCTCTGTGAGAATTTACAGTGTTAAAATATGATCATATTCGCATGTTTTATAATAATCATATATTTAATGTAAAAAAAAATAAATGTGAGACCAAATTAAATATAAAAAATATGTACAAATATATAGTCATAATATAAATTATATTGTATGATTGGAGCTTAAATGATTATTACTTATATAAAATGAGAGAAATAAAGCAATTTAAACGATTCTACATGTGATTTGATTTGAAAAAAATATATATATGTATTATAACTGGTATTGATGCGAGGAAATAATGTATCAACCGCGCTCTGAAGGGCTGAGTTTCAAAATCTAGTAAACTGCCGACTTAGAACATTTTTGCCATCAAATGCTGTCTGGCTGGCTGGGCATCACACTAGATTTTGAGACACATCCAACAAATCTGTCTCTTCGGCCCTCCAAAACGCTCAATTTTACTTTCTTTGCATTGCTGAAAAGGCATGACAGCCTATTAAACTCGTGATTCCCGTGTCTTATTAACTGAGGAATAGAACAGCATTTGTTAATGTTTATGTCGGACGCAGCACTCACTGTGGGCGGAATTACAATGAACAACATGAAACAATGTAGCTAACAGACGCGCCTGGCACCAGCCACACCACCACAAATCTAGACGGAGCATGTAACTATAAACTACCTTCGGCGTGGGACACAAAAATGACTGCTTTGCACAGACTTACCCGTTAACTTATGATGGTTTGCATTTTTGTAAAATAACTCAGTTCATTCCGAAAGTTTAGAGGCTTGTCTTCCTTCTCTGCACTTCCCTGCTACACGCACCCTGCTGCGACTGTCATGTGACCGTACAGCGCTCTCTACTGGTCAGGGGGGCGTTTACTATCTGGGTTTAGTTGCTAAATGTGTAGACCTTAGGCCCACTATAAACCATTCGTGAACTTTTTGTTGTTGTTTTTTTCTCGGTACGAAACATAAGCATAAGTGTCACGTATCACACGTATATCGCAATAAATTAAGACATTATTGGGGAAAAAACAATATTGTTTGCACCTCAACAAGTTGAGCCCCAAGAATCGGTGTGCATGCCTGTACCTATAGAAATTCCTTTTTAATCACTGACCACACTAAAAGTTATTATATAATTTGCTGTCTCACATGCACATTTTCTAATGTGTGGCAGTTGGCACTTAAGGGTGAACTGTATAATTTCTCTTATGGTACACATAAAGCTTGAGTTACGGCCACTATTGATGATTTCTAACCCTCCAGTTGATTTAATGGAACTTTGCCCTGTGCAACAAGTAAAGAATAACGTAAACAGCCTATCAAAGATCCATGTCAAAGTCAAAGATTAATTTTCATTCTGTTTAACAGGTTTTTTTCAGTTCAACATTTTTATTAATCTGTACACTACATATAAATGTAAATCACTGTTCAAATAAAAAAAAGTAGTGTGCAATACTAACAAAGGCAGAAATTAATTATTAAAGTTAGAAATTAATCATTAAATACCACAAAACTTGAACGAAATATTCAGTTGTTTTGTATAATGACTTGAGGACATGTGTATCCACACATAGTATAAAGTTACAATTTCAATCGAACTGGATTCATCTTTAGCTTATCAGGAACATAAAAAACAAAGCCTGAACATGCTGATTAAAAAAAAAGAAGAAAATTTACCCTGGTGGTTGTGTGACTGCAAGCACAAATGTACAAAACAAGCAACAGTCTAATAATAAAAAGAGTACTTAATACTCTTCCATGATGAAACCCCTAAAAACAAGTGGGAAAATATATTTGCAAGAGGCAGATCGATTTTACAGATCATCTGCAAATGACAAAAATGAAAAGCAAAATTACTCATTTCCAACTGTTTGGCATAATAGCGGTCAAACCACACCTGAAGTATTGTATCAGCTGACCTCTTAGGTTAAATATCACATTCTTGAGAGCACAGACATTGTAAGAACACAGAATTTGGATATGTACACATTTGGTTCAAAAGTGCTTGAGGTCTGCATTTATTATAAAGTCACAGGAGTGTTATGAACATTTTCAATGTTTTTCTCCCTTCTTCGTATGGCTGGGAGACATCCTATATATTGCAGCTATCGTCATAAGAAGGTGGAGCCTCTGTCAAAAGAAATGAAATCAAATTAATCACCAGGTAACATCGCCTTACCTAATGAACAATCAATTAAATATAATAATTCAAATAAAAATTTTAAACAAACGAATTTTAATTCATTTTAAATATAATATATGATATACAATATATGATTAACAGTGTTGGGGAAAATTACTTTTAAAAGCTCAAACTAATTGCATGAAGAATATGATGCAGGAATAGAAAGTTCCACACTATGCACAGTATTCAGCAATAACAAAAATGAAACAAATGTGTCATTTTTGCTTAGTATGGTTGAATTGGATCATAGAAGATCAGCAGCAAAGACATTGGTTAATAAAATCGGATTAAATACATAAATTATATTTGTCTTATTTAACATTTAATTACTGCAGGTTTGTGTCATATTCTGAGTTTGCATTTGACAGTTTTTATTCATTTTGAGGAATACTGAATTTTTTATAATCAATTATAATACATTTTATAACCATGTCATACCATGTGGATATGGTGAACTCCTGTAGTTTGGAGGCAAGCTCAATGAAGAGGACATTGCATTCCTGTCTTGAGGGCTGGTGGATGAAGTGAAGGGGGGTGCTGATGGGCCGTTGGAGCTCTGTTTCTGTCTGAAGCTGAGTCCAGGAGCGTAGCTGAATGCATTGGGAGACACTGGAGCCTGGGAACCAGACTCATGCTGTGGACTCTTTGGCATTTCCCCGTTGTAGTTAGCCACACCTGGGAGTTCTGGGTACAGATCAGGGGGAAGCACATTGAGGGATGCGTAGGTGCTACGAGGCCTGGGTTTGGGTGCAGGTTTTGGGGTTGTACGTGGTGGCAGGCTGGGTGGGCCACATTCGGCGGGAGCAGCAGCAGCAGGAGAAGGGGCAGGAGCAGGGGTGGGGTTATTACGTGGGGCTGGCATGGGTGGAACCGACCGGGAGGCGGAAGGCCGAGTTGGATCCACTGCGATGCTTCCAATGTAAATGGGAAGAGTTAATGATACCTCTGGGTATTTCAAATAGACCTGGAAAAGCAGAGACAAACATGCAGATGAGATTCTGCATGAGGAAGGAAGGAGGAAATACCAAATGCAATTTGCATGAACTTCTGATAAAATGCATCTCTCTGATATACATGTTCCCAGTGATTAAATACAGCCAGATATTATTAAACACTCCACAATGGAGAAAAATACTCACAGGACAGAAAAGTGTCACACTTTGCATTACATTATGTTAATGTAATATGTGTAACAATAACTTCATTTAAATACTCACCTGAATGTAGTAGCAGATTTGGATGAGGTTTCCATCAATCAGAGTGGACAGATGAAGAGAAGGCACAATTATCTGCTCCTTCCATTCAGTTTTTTGTCCACCCTTAACTCCAGGTCCTTCTACCTCCGCTACGGTCCGCATGTCATATGTTGGCTTCTTGGTATTATATGTAACTTTCTAAAATTAAGAGATGAGCAATAGTGAGAATCTTATCATGATATTTCCCAAAGGTGTACCTGCATATTCAATCACAATTGTTTATATAGCCATATCAGTCAACAACCAATCTCAATATACACTACCGTTCAAAAGTTTGGGATCAGAAAGATATTTTAATGTTCTTAAAAGAAGTCACTTGTGCTCATCGAGGCTGCACTTATAGGATCAAAAATACATTAAAACAATAAATGTTGTAATAGTCTTACAATTTAGAGTAACTGCTTTCTATTTTAAAATGTAATTTATTCCTGTAATCACAAATATGCATTTTCAGCAGACATTACCCCAGTATTCTGTGTCACATTATCATTCAGAAATTGCTCAAGAAACATTTCTTATTATCAGTGTTGTGCAGCCTAATATTCAGGATTTTTTGATCAGTAGAATGTTCCAAAGAACAGGATGTATTTTCATTTGAAATTTTTGTAAAAATGTAAGTCTTTACAGTCACTTTTGATCATTAAAAAAAATCTTACTGACCCCAAAATATTTTCACACACTATACTCAATTGTTTAAACTAACTGAAAACATTTGTTCTTAAAATATAATCTAATGTAGTTAGTGTAATCTTACCTGCATTAGACTGGCAACCACATGACCTGTTGACTTATCAGATTTGTTTTCAATCTCAGCAAACACTTTTATGATCTGTCCAGTGATATATCCTCGCATGTCACTCTTAGCTTTCAGCACCACTGTCCCATTTTTCACAAGCATGTATGAGAAATTCTTGGTTACAGAATAGGAGCTAGGTTCCTGCGCAAAGCAAATAATTAAAAGCATAGTTAATGTAAATCATTGGCAGTAAATGACAGCACAGATAAAAGAAGATATCAGAATTAAAGATATTTAAGTTTGTGGTTCTTTTTTTGCCAGTTTAGAATATGGAAGTCTGTGTAGCACATTTACCTGAATACCAGGTATTTCATTCAGGTTGACTGTGTTCTTCATAGAGAAGGGCTTCTCTATCTTGTAGTCTTTTGTAAAACGAGGTGTGTCTATGAAAGCCCGAACTCTGTATATAATCCTTCCATAAGGCCCTTCAAATGATGTAGGTGCAGCAGCTACAAAAGAGAGGATTAGAGAGGTTTGTATGTCTACTCTGCAGGTGCAGATAAATGAAGTAATAAAAAAAACAAATGAGGATGAGGCTAATAATTAGCTTACTTCTCATAATCAAAGTTTGGACTTTTGCATTGGAACAATGTTCTTTTCAAACAATATTGTTTAAAAGGGTGCATTATCCAATAAGCTTCAATGTTTTTAGCAAAAGGCTGAAAACCACAGAAGCCAACGGTACAGCACGAGAAGCACGATTCTCTAAGAGTGGCATTGTTCTGCAAGGGGGGAGCTGGGGAGTCTCAGATAATAGAGGAACAGCAGATGGAGGTTTCAAATAGCAGCTGAGCAGCTCCAGACAATAAGAGCTGGGATAGCCTAGATGGGCTAGCGTGTGTCTTAGCTTCACATTGTGAAGAGAGTGAATAAAACAAACAAAAATTAACGGACAGTAACAGAATTCACACCATCTTTAAAAAAAATTTCATGCATAATGTTTTTTTTTTATTTATAATGTTACAAAAATTTCTACTTTACATAAATGCTGTTCTTTCAAACTTTATATTTATCAAAGATTCTTGAAAAAAATATGTATCACAGTTTCCAGATACATAAGTAGCACAACTGTTTGTTTTTTTTTTAAGTTGTTCTGTTGCCGTGGATAAATGTAAACAGTGGTTAATCTCTGACAAGTCTTGGAGGAATGTAGAGCGACAGGTCAGCTCAATTACACAAAAGTGTGCCTCACCTGGCAAGAGAAACTTGAAGGGAAAAGTGTGCTCGCCGTCTTTCAGAGTGCCTGGGAAACAGACAGAGAGGAACTGTAAGAGATCTGAACAATCATCCTACCGTTTAATGTGTGAGTGAGACCATGACATCTGTGTACCTTTATCTGCTATTGAGACTGAGCTGCTGAAGTACTGCTCCTCCTCTGTCCAGTCTATGTCATTTGATTTGCTGGTCACTCCACAGAAACCCTGGCAGTTCACTATAGAAAACATTTGCAACACATTTTTACAGTTTTTTTTTTTACCAAAATATTTAAAAAAAATAACCTTTGGAAAGGTATTGTACATTCATCTAACTAGGACAAAACTCCTATATTCTATACTCCTAATCTCCTAATACCTGTATTGGGCGACACACATAGGTTGTATTTGGTTATATAAAGTTGACATTTTAGTTTTTTTTTTAAGTTGTTCTGTTGCCGTGGATAAATGTAAACAGTGGTTAATCTCTGACAAGTCTTGGAGGAATGTAGAGCGACAGGTCAGCTCAATTACACAAAAGTGTGCCTCACCTGGCAAGAGAAACTTGAAGGGAAAAGTGTGCTCGCCGTCTTTCAGAGTGCCTGGGAAACAGACAGAGAGGAACTGTAAGAGATCTGAACAATCATCCTACCGTTTAATGTGTGAGTGAGACCATGACATCTGTGTACCTTTATCTGCTATTGAGACTGAGCTGCTGAAGTACTGCTCCTCCTCTGTCCAGTCTATGTCATTTGATTTGCTGGTCACTCCACAGAAACCCTGGCAGTTCACTTTGATTGCTGATTAGGAAATAAAGACATAGGTCAGTCAAAAGACAGATGCAAGATGCTGATAATAGATCCTTTTTACTGGAACACGAGCACTGGAAAAAATACTGCTCTGTCCCAGTAAAATATTATTGATAAATCCTTATATATGTCAGTGAAAACTACTGTATACCAACCTGAGAATCCTTTTTTTCTGACAATCAGTTGTTTAGAATCAGAACTTGTGATGCCAGATTTGAATGAATCACTGTTTTGATCTAACTGGTCAAATGTGTGTTCAAGATTCAGTTTGATTCATTGGAAAAGTTCACTCACATATACTTGATCGTTTGCAGCGGTTTCTCACACCAACATAATAATGGGTAATATATAACTGGTACAGCAGATTTTTTTTTTTAAACTATATCCATTTATATCCAAAGCAGTACTCAAAAGAAAGAGTCTTTTTTACTGATGAAAGGCTATCACAAGAAATGCGTCATTGTGTTGAGATTCAGATTATGTCCTGACAACAGCTATTTAAAGGAATATTTCATGAGGGTCAGTAAATGATGACTGGGATTGTCTCGAACCAAGATGACGCAGGATGTTCCATTAAAACATTCAGACTGTCATGGTAACACAAAAACACAGAAGCCATATGTCATCAACAAAGGAGGCCTAAAACATACATAGCATTGAGGTGAGTGAACTCACCCACTTATCATTTCTCAAGAAATGTTCTGCTTCAAGTCATTGCTACAGGGGGAAAAAATATATCTTGCTGCATGACAAAATTAGCAACAGGGGACAGTAAAAATGTTTTGCAATTGAAAATAACCGACCATGTATTACTTTTACAGTTGTTGAATGCAGATAATAATTTTGCAGAACAGACTGTCTTTATACAGTCTGCATTTTTTTTTACCTTTTTAATACCACAAGATTTTAATTGTTTATATATTAGACTACAAATTGAGCATAACATTTTGACTAGTTTAATGAACATTTTAATTCTACTTAAAATGGTGAGAAAACATACCTAATCTGAAAAATAATGTGCCACAAAATTTTTTAAATAATTATATAAATAAATCTGCAAAAAAGCAATGAGCTATAGTTTACAAAGATAGGTCCTTGACCATGTATTACTTTTACAGTTGTTGAATGCAGATAATAATTTTGCAGAACAGACTGTCTTTATACAGTCTGCATTTTTTTTACCTTTTTAATACCACAAGATTTTAATTGTTTATATATTAGACTACAAATTGAGCATAACATTTTGACTAGTTTAATGAACATTTTAATTCTACTTAAAATGGTGAGAAAACATACCTAATCTGAAAAATAATGTGCCACAAAATTTTTTAAATAATTATATAAATAAATCTGCAAAAAAGCAATGAGCTATAGTTTACAAAGATAGGTCCTCAACCCCTGACCAAAATGAATACAGATATTAACATGCAGTCTTTATTTGTCCATTTCTTTCTTTTAAATCCTTGTCTTTGTGATTCTATCTGTTTGCTAACCTTTATTTCCACCATTTCCCCCCTCTCTCTCTCTCTCTCTCTAACCCCAAGACACACACTGAGTGCTAGCAAGCAGAGATGTTACCACAGATACATAAGCAACCATGGGAAATATGTCAGAATAGACTCCAGTAAGAAACTGGGTGAACAACAACATCTGGAATCTAAATATCTCATGACTGGTCACTCTGACGTACTGAACAGAATATGAGTGCTACTAAACCGACATTTATGATTATGAACTGATATAGATAGAAACTTTTGTCCAACTATTAAAAAAAACATCTTCTATTGATTAATACACCTGAAAAGAGGGCAAAATAATTGCTCAGGTCAAAAAAGTCAATTACTTCAGTAATTTAATTCAACCAAAAAATAAATAAATAAAGACTCAAATAGAACTGTTATTGTTTTAAATACTGTCAGATGACTTCTCCATAAAGTTGTAAAGGTGACTTTGTGCGATTGTTATTACTGTTGTCCTTGATCTGGAATGTGAGCGAACCAGTCCGGTGAGTATTCTTCATCAACATCTCAGCTCAAATAATAGACCAGCCCCAAACCACTGACATAACCACATGACTTGCTTTCTTTCTCATATCACTGTAAAACTGATGATTACATCTGGTGTGACGTTTTTTCACACTATCATCTTGACTGCACTCTGACGCATTTTTAGTCTTATCACATTTGCCTTGCCCACAGCAGTTCTCAAACGTGTGAAAACAACACTTTTAATCATGCTTCCTTGTTCACATTGGTTGGTGGTTTTTTTTGTTTGTTTTATTTTTAACACAGAATAGGCCGATAGGTCTATAGGCTGACATTTTCATGTATATTTAGAGACATTTCACCTTGATCCCATGGCCAAGATAAGGCCCAAAGTCAAACAGTAGCTGTATTGTCTTCCTGGACAATAGATTTGGCTGGTTACTCTTACGTTAGCTTTATGGATGTAGATACACAAGCCAGAGCTGTACTGTATCTGCATATGAAATAATTCGATATCCATATTGCAAGTAACAAGCCTTATACTTTTTTGATAGCTAGTCATATTAATTTATACTACATGCCTATTCTGCACAAAAAAAGACACAATTAATGGGATCTTTAAGGCTTACATTCCTTCAAGTATCCAGAAATATATTTTTTTATATTTTATAAATATATTTTAAAGGGGTCATATGATATTGCTAAAAATAACATTATTTTGTGTATTTGGTGTAGTGAAATGTGTTTATGCGGTTTAAGGTTCAAAAAACATGCCGGAGGGCTAGAGTGAGCAGAGGCCGGCTTGAGTGAGCAGAGGCGGCGGGCCTGAGAACGGCGTGGCCGGCGGATTCGACGAAGGAGCTTGCGGCAACCAAATGTGACGACCCCGGGCTGGACTCCGCTTCGTCCACGGTGAAAGCCGATCCGGTGATCCACAGCGCAAAGTTGTTGTATTTCCTCAGCAACCAGCACGGATCAGCTCTAGGCATGACGAAGCGAATATCGTCCTCTTTTGGAAGGCCAAACAAAGTAGTTTCGCTTTCACAACGAAGCACACAGCGCCTTCACGACATGGCGGCGACAACAACAATACTACAGCGAGAATATAATTTACGCCTTCTTTCTTTGCGTGAACATTTGGGGCGGCGTTATGTAAATCTTCCCACATAGCGACGTAGACATGTGGGGGCGTGTTAGAACGAGCCGTTTTAGGTAGGCGTGGTTAACTCTTAACTTTTATAAAGAATATCTCTTTGGATTTGAGACTTTAGTCTTTGCAACTTTACAGATCTTCTTTACGCACCAAGAGCTTGTAACACTCCAAAGAGAAAGGAAAATTTGAAATCGCATCATATGACCCCTTTAAATACTGCAATGGATAGGCATTGTTCGGCTTAGCTGTGTCAGGACATCTGACCTTAACATGAGGTGCACTGAAGAGCACTGAAGCTGGGTGAAACAGGTGCTGGTATCAACAGCTGGTGGGTGAGAAGATGCATACACTACTTTTACAGCATTTTTGCACCAAGCAGTCTGACCAGTATTGCAGCAAATTGCATATGTATGATATTGAAAACCGATTTCAAAAGATTTGTTTGACAATTTAAAGATGTTTCAAGGTCTGAATGACTGACTCAAACACGCTGCTGAAGGCTCAATGCATAAATATGCAAACAATCAGCAGCACCAAGCAACTGCTCATGCGTTACATCCACATGTTGGTTTCCTTTCACTATTTTAGGTCCTAGTGCCTAACTTGCACTTAAATATAAGTCTTCATACGTAATTTTCTCAGTCACTGTTTTAAAATGCTGAAACTGATAACCGAAACTGCGATTAGTTTACCTGGCAAGGTATCGAGAAACAGAGTGGATTATACACAATCATTTCAGCGTTTTTATTACCATTTAACACTCTGTTTATGGTTATTACAGAAATTTCAGAGAACTAAGATAGGAACGAAAGCGGTAAGAGGTTTATGCACTATTCCGCTTTGGCATGTCAATAAAAGATCCGCAACAACAAGTTTCGCTCACACCAGTTTCAGTCCTCGATGCGAAAGCACTAAACGTGAGAACGTCTAGGAAAACAACCAGTGGGCTAAGATTTACGTTTGATACACACGTATTGTAGGTACTTTAAGAAGTAAACTTGTTCAGAAACTTTTTTTTTAATCATCCAATGAAACCACAATGGGTGGTTGCGGTGTGCGATAATTGGAGTCGTTTGTTTAGTTTACCTACCTTTACAATGTATTGGCTGTGCAATTGAGATTTTCAGAGTTCCTGAGATGGATTCGCCAGCATTATAAACCGTTTTGTTTTTATTAAGAGTTATTTCGAATTCCTGAATCTTCCCCATTCTGTTCTCTATCCACCGTGAACAGGTGGGAGAGCGAAACTGATCCACACGGAAAGGAAATGCTTTACCTGTGGCCGACGTGACGTCACGCAAATAATGTGCTGACGTCACTCGGGAGTCCTGCGGTTCTCGCCAGTAACAGAGGAAAAAAACAGATGTAAACTGACTCGCTTCTTAAATCAACAGATAAGAACAGTTTAACAACAGGAAATTTTAATGCACGTTGTTTTGAAAAATCTTTGTACAGTTACATTTACAAAACATTTACAATTTACAAAGATAAAAAAATAACAATAGCCTAATAGGAAAAACACTGAGCCAATGAACGTTATTTTATATCTTGTATCAGTAATCAACAATGAGATAAACAGCTTCAAAAATTGATCTTCTGTTTATTTAGTTTCACTCACATGTTAGCGTGACTGTCGCAGGCTATTTGAAATATCAATACTGCACACAATTAAAAATATGAATTTAGATATCAATTTTATTCATACCGTCTGAAAGATTCGAAACTTTCAAAACTTCGTGCTGCATTTATTTATCATTAGCATGTTGTGAAAGGTTACTCGTGTTCTAAAACATTACTTTGTGGGCTAGAATAAATATTTAGAAAATTATTTTAACAAATTCTTAATGCATTCCACAGTGTTGTTACTAGAAACATCCTTTTTGCCTGTGCTCAACAAGACAGTGGAGGCCAGTAACATGTTCACAAATACTATCGGCAAGATTACACTTAAAAATATTTTTTTAATATTTTATACTTTTTATTTCAGTATTGTGGAATAGGATCTTACAGGACAAATAAATAACTAAAAGACAAACATTTTTTTTAAGTGTAATCTTGCAGTAGGCTGCTTATCAAAGCACCAAGTCACCATGAAATTAAAATGGACAGTGTTTTGTCATTTTTTTTAGTTCATGTACCCTTATAAGCTTTGACTTCCCCTTGCAGCAACATCTCTTCTCTGGGGACGTGTTCACTGACATGAGTTCGGACAATTTGATCGCAACTTCCATTTCAATTTCTTAATGTCCTAAGAGCAGTGTTGGGGGTAACGCATTACAAGTAGGCTAACGCGAGTTACGTAATCAGATTACTTTTTTCAAGTAACTAGTAAAGTAACGCATTACCTTTTAATTTACAAGAGAATATCTGAGTTACTTTTTCAATACTTTTTCTTTTTTTCCCGCAATTTATTGATTGACAGCTCTCCTGTCCCCATGTTAAGTTCTAAAATAAATATAAATTAATTCATCTCACTCACAAAAAAAAGCACAGATTCAGTATTCCTCAAAATGAATAAAAATAATGCAACTCAGAATATGACGCAAAGCTGCAATAATTAAATGTTAAACAACACAAATATCTTTTATGTATTTAATCCCATTCTATTAACCAATGTCTTTGCCTCTGACCTTCGATGATCCAGGTCAACCATACTAATTACTAGCAAAAATTACTAGACAAACATTTGTGTGTCTTTTTTTATTGCTGAAGTGTGTTGAAATTTCTTCTTCTGCATTCTGCTGTATGGATGTAAATTTACTTTCCCTTCAGCCTGAGGCTTATTCATTTCACTTCTGGTCTGAAAAGGCTTTTTTATTTGCCAAAAATAGAACTTTTTTATTTTAAAAACAAACAAGCAAGCAGATTTAAAAAGTAACGCAAAAGTAACGTAACGCATTACTTTCCATAAAAAGTAACTAAGTACAGTGATTAGTTACTTTTTTATGGAGTAACGTAATATTGTAATGCATTACTTTTAAAAGTAACTTTCCCCAACACTGCCTAAGAGATAGCTGAAACTACATTTCTGTTTACACTTTGACTTACTGTTTCTGATTCAATTTTGTTTTCAACATTACGTCTGACCCCTATTACCTTAAGAGATCTTCTGAATGCTTTGATAAAATTACGTGAGCCAAAAAAGTAGATGAGGGGGTCCAAGCAGCAGTTGATTCCTGCCAAAATATAGCATGCATAATATGCTGTTTGCAACTGCAACATAAGTCTACATTTACTAGGATGATACTTTTTCACAACTACTCCGATAGTCCGAACAACATTGAGAGGAAGAAAGCAAAGGCCAAATATGAATACACATATCCCTATCATCCTCATAGACTTATTCTTGACTGATTGGCCCTGAGCAGAATTGATGTTAATGCGGGACACTGAGCTCGCCAGGCGACTATAGCAAAACACTGATATAGTTAAGGGTAAAATACACCAAAAGAAGAAAATCACAAAGTTAATAATAAAGTAAGCATCTGTCAACCTTGTCTGATGAATAGTAAGACACTGCCCATGATTTTCTTCAGTGGTCACAGGAAGCAGCCATCCATAGAAAATGCCAATTATTATCAGAAAACACCAAATCCCAGCACACAGCTTCTTCACGAATATCTTCCTTTTTATCAACGAGGAGCGGTTGAAGTGAACCACGGACACATATCGATGAACGCTAATAAGTGTGAGGAAGATCACGCTGCCATTAAAGTGGATGCTGAGCACGGCGATCTTCAGATGGCAGGCAAAATCCCCAAAAATCCAGTTGCTATCCATGGCAAAGTACGCTGCCATCAGTGGGGTGAGTGGAGTGATGATGGCGTCAGATAGAGCCAGATTAAACTGCAGAACAGCTCCAGAGTTCCATTTGTGAATGCGGCAGGTGAAGACCCACAGGCTGAATCCATTGAGCAGAAGGCCCAGCAGATAGACCAGACAGAGGATCACAGCCAGAGACATGTGCTGAGGCTCAGGAGGACATGTATCCCCATGGCTGGCGTTGGGTAAATCTGAGGTGTTCATCTTTGAAAAATGCCACTGTGCAGAAAAAAATGAGGGGTTGTTGATCAGATGCATCAAATAGATGAAGTGAAAATTACAGTAGCCCAGCCCTGATCTATGGAAGCCCGTTTCCGCCACTAAATAAAAAAATATAATTCTGTAAGTTAGTGATCGGACAGGTAGGATCTAAACCATCTTAAAGCCTGCCTTTGAATACCTTTATAGTTTTGTAATCGATCTATGAATATGTCATGATCTATAGTGTCGAACGCAGCACTAAGATCAAGTAAAACTAGCAATGAGAATGTCAATGAAAAAAATAAGAATCCTACAGCAATAAATCATTTTATTGGCTGCACTTCAGTGCAATCATTAACAAACAATCATTTGCTTCAAAAAAAGTAAGCAAAATTATTTCATTTGCATGAAATTGAATGAACTATATACCTACATACAAAATTTCAATGCAATTAAAAAAAACTTTCTGTGATTTATTTAATTTATTTATTTAGTCATTTATCAGACACTTTTATCCAAAGCGACTTACAAATGAGGACAACAGAAGCAATCAATTTTAGTATTAAAACAACTAAAAACAGATCCAAAACTAAAAGCTAAAATTTTATAAATACTACCTATACACATTTTAAAAAATAAAGAGATAAAAATGACAAATGCATACAACAAAATTTCTAAACTTAACATTGAAATTAAAAATAAAGCTCAAAACAATTCAAAATATTAAAGAGCAAAAGGTATAAGAGTATAATAATGATTCTAACATAACACTAAGCCAAACACCAGAAATAAACAACTACATACGTGTTTGTACAACCACACGCACACATACTCATATATATATATATATATATATATATATATATACAGTGGGGCAAAAAAGTATTTAGTCAGCCACCAATTGTGCAAGTTCTCCCACTTAAAAAGATGAGAGAGGCCTGTAATTTTCATCATAGGTATACCTCAACTATGAGAGACAAAATGAGAAAAAAAATC